GGGGGGGTGGGGTGTTGAATTCTTGAATTGATCAGTGTATAACTGATACTTGATGCTGTTACCAATGATACTTTGCTTGTTGGCTCATGCTGATAGTCTTGAAGTTATTTATTGGTTTAATCAAATTATTATTGTTAAAAGGAAGTATTTTATTTTATTGGTCTCTTTTTGGACAGAATCATATCACCTAAGTCATATGCTAAGTACTGGCATGATTTGGGTCACATTTATTTCATTTTATAAATTAATTAAGGAACTCTCACAAAAATCAATGTAGGGATATGCAAATTGTATTTCAATCTCCAAGGCTCAAAATTGCACAATTTTTGATGAGAAATTATCATGAATGATAAGTTCTACATATACCTCACAATATCACAACGTACAATATCAAGCAGACAAGTGATGTGGATAAAGAACAATTTCAATTATGGAATTATTCGTTGATCTGATACCAAATTATCCAAACTATCATAATAAGAATTGTAAGAAGAATTACTGATGAGATCTTGGCAGTAAAAAAGGGTAAAGTAGTGCACTTATGTTCTTGGTATAGGGGTACATAACAAGAGCTAAAATTTTATATATAATCATATTCTTAATCATTTGATTTTTTTTGGTCTTAAAGCACCATGTGATGGAATATGCCCCAGCCAACTGGGGAATACCAGGTGATATACTCCAATGATATTCCCCAATTTTCAAACCTTATGTCCAATATGATAAATTCTGTTCAAGATAAAAGAGAGTTTGGTTGTTCATAAAGAGAAAAAAAACATAATGCAGAGCAAACAGTAAGCTGTTTGTAAACATTGTTCCAGTGCATTGCAAAAATATTTAAAGAGTAATTAACACAGTAGCCCCTATTTGGTGTGAAATTTATCATTGGAAATTTTCTGTTCCTTGTTACTCTTTGTTTTTGTTAGCCTCACTCTCAGAAAACTGTTGGCGTTTTAGACCAGATAAAGTTCATGGACAAATATCTCTCCATATTTTTGCAGCAAGTGGAGGCTTTTGTTTAGATATTGTTTATATAAATTCTCAGGGACCAAAAGTTGGCTATTGTTTAAATGTCTGTAGAATATTCCCTGGTTGTCAGTCACATAAAATTTCCCAACTAAATACTAACAAAAGTACCCTTGATTTAGTAGTTATTGATTTAATTAAAGTTTTAATGTATTAAATGGAGTGGCAAAATATACAGCAGTCCGTTATGTGTACATATTGACTGACTGAGGGGGAAATGACAATGACTGATTGAGGGGGAAAAAGTTACCCTTTGACCATCAAGAGTTACTACCATCTAATTTCTACTTACAGTATGAGCCCTGGGTCACACATAAAGGTCACAAAAATAAAAGACATGATTACCAATAAAAGTTTTTGCAAAATTTTGATTGTCGAAGCTAAGAAAGTATCATTCATTATCATATTGAAAACAAAGCCTCATTAAAATTAACTTTCAATGCACTTTAAAACATGCCTACTACAAAACTAGTTTCCTCCACAGACCTCTTCAGTTGTATGTGATGTTTCGTTTCGTTCAGATCAATAAGGTTCAACAAGATCAACTGATAAACACGAAGAGCGGGTGGAATTATTTCAAGATCCCTAGGGCTGTTGTCACACAATTGTGAATGAGGCTACGAACATTTCATCATGTGACTATTGCACAGTGAAACTGAGTTCTAGTCTGTTGTAATTAATTAATTTAATTGTCTGTCTATTGTTATCATTGTTATGTGTTGTTAGTGTAATTATTGTGGAATATTGATTTTATTGTTATAGGTGTTTTTTTCATCTTTTTTGTTTTTGTTTTTGTTTTTTTTGTTGATTTTTTGTAAGTTTTCAAGTTTGTTTTTCTTTGTTTGTCTACTTTGGTATGGTTGTTTTATCAGTTTTACTTAAGCGTCGTTGTTGTGCAACTAGATACCAAGTTAATGCTCATGCAACGTTATATGCTCGTGCAACGTTATATGACGTGGTCTGAGATTTGAAATTTCTAACGAAACGAAACGAAACATCGCATACAACTGAAGAGGTCTGTAAGCGAAACTAGTTTTGCAGTAGGCGTGTTTTAAAGTGTGTTGAAAGTTAATTTTAATGAGGTTTTGTTTTCAATATGCCAATAAAAGTTGTTTACTGCAAATACTCCTTGTCAGCACCTTAGGAAATGTGTAGAGAACAGTCAGAATAATATGCAAATAGCTTGGCGCGGATCAAGTCACTGTTCGTTCGGTTTTGGTTCGAGTTCACGAATTAAAAAACATTTTTATAATGTCAAACAGTCAGTTTTCTCTGATTTCAAAATCTTGAAATTGCCTCTAATTGCCTCCGGATCCTTTTCATGCTCCTCCCGTCTCCTTCTAATGAAGGAAAGGGCACAATTTAGCAAAAAATTATTTCACGAAAACTTTCATCTTTGGGTGGAATCGCGATAAATTAGCACTAATGACGACAAATAGGCACTAATTTAGGCAAGCCTGGGCTTGCTCTGATATAACGTGCGTTTTTATTGGTGGGTGAAATCAAACACCAATCATAACACACGTTACAACGGATTTACATCATCAATATTCTCAGGGTTCTCCCTAGATTCTTTCTTTCTAGTTCTCACGGCCTTCGAAGATGTGATAGCTATGAAATTGTACGTGTTTCTCAACATTCTCCTGGTAAGTAGACTTCTCTGTTGTGTTTCAAATGCATGATTTTGTCATTTTTTGCTGTATTGTGAAGTTTGCATAGTTTGAGTGCAGATTGACCGTACGTGTTGCGAAGTTCTCACATGGCCACTTGTGATCAACTCAGCTTTGCACACCCACCAGCTTAGGAACGCCGATCTTATTCCTAAAATGTTTTTGTTTTCTGGACCAGTTATGTTGAATAATGTTATCTTTTTGTGCATTTCGGAAGCTTTTGAGACGCTGTTGGAATGTGCATATCGCATCATAAAATTTATGCTGAAGAAAGCACGTTCCTTTCAAGTGCTCTTTTGACCGCTTCGGGATCAGCAATTATAATTGAGTACATGCTCTGGCCTGTCCTACGCGCAATTTAATGAGCTGTACGATGGCGATACGCAATAATCTGATGAAACAAAGTTGTTCAATGTTATATTACACAAACAGCTGTGTAATATACTTCTCTTCATATGGAGTAGCGTTGTTTTGGATTTTAAGTCTAGCAACTCTTGAAACTGAAATTTATAAACCGCTTTTCACCTTAATTGAAATGTTGTAAATTTAATTCACAGCAATACAGTTCACAGCTCGTGGTCGACGATTTCTGTTGCTTTCTTGGGTGCGAAATTTGTTGACTTTTTACTTGAAATCGCATCATCGGAAATTGTACAACGATCTGTCATAGACGAGTAATATTTTTGTTTACATAAGCGGAATATTTCCTTGTAGTTGCTTACATTATTGTTAATCCGAGTGGAATTTTAAAAATTTCTTTGCCCAATACTCCACACCTGTCGTTGAAGTAGGGGTGCATCTTTCAAACTCTGTTTCCCAACAGAAGATATTTGGGTAAACAGTAACTCGAAACTGGAATCCAAAACTCTTGCAAAGTCGTCGAAGCCTTACTGACCTTCCGTTCTTTGATTGAATTTGCCCCCCTAATCATTATGCATATATCTGACCGTTTTCATGCATTTATTTTGTGGTAGCTGTAACGGTTCTTTGTCAAGGTGACATAAAAATGTTTCATTCTGTGGTAAAGAAATATTCATGAGATAAAATCATTTTCCTACTTATTCCACCAACTAGTATTGTTAGAGGCTGCGAAGTGATGGTTAGAGAAATTTCTATTGAATCAAATTTTCATAATATTTTGACAACAAATGACCAAACTAAATGTCAACAGGAAATTAAAATATCTTGAAACTCTGAGCTTTTATTCAGAAAGTTAGCACGCCTAAAGTAACCATCAATTAAACAGAATCCTGATTTGCCTAGCAAACTCCTAGTCATTTTGATTTTACCTTAAACTGGTTCAGTGAAGGTTTTCAAGGTCAATGAACACTTTTTAGCATGGTTAACTTGGTAATATACTCAGCAAAACAAATTGTATTCATGATCACGGACCACACGTACAAACATGCATTGCATGATAGAGAATATGTCATTTGAAAGGTCTTTCTGAGGAATTATAGTTTTTTATGTTTACTTTCTTATAAGTTATTTTATATTTTAATTTATTTGGAGAGAGTGTTAAAAATGAGCAAATCTTCAATCATTTGATTATAAAAACATCTCAATATTGGTGTTTACTGAGTATTTAGAGACCGGTTTCACTTATACTGCAGATAGGTTTTCCTTAAGCAACAAGATATGAGTTTTTTTTATAACCAATACTTCAGGATGTACAAATCTAACGCTGAATGTTTTATAGTCAGTGTATCTACTTGTGAAAGAGAAGTTTAATATAATGTTATCTTTAACAGGTCATTGGAGAATTGGTCACCAGAACTACTGGTGATGGTGGGTGCAGACCAGGCAAATATTGGAATCCCAAAATCCTCAGATGTCTGGATTGCACTACTTGCCGTGAAGGAGAGAGGCTTATCTCCCTCTGCCAAGAGTCACAGGACGCTTCCTGTGAGACCTGTCCAAAGGTATGGTAGAGTTTTAATTCTTGTTCCCAATCTAGGGCTTGTTTTTCAAAGGTCTTGATTTTCAGTGGTTCTAAAATGCCAATCTTTGTTTGCCATGGTTTTATTCTAGAAAAGACTAATAAAAAATACTAGTAGTTTTGAAATTCTAAGCTGGCTACCAATGGTCACCTGTAAGATCTCTCACAGTTTTCTTTTAAGACAATGAGTATATTCTGTGTGTTTGGGTTTCGCCTTACTCTCCACCATCCTCCGCTTTTTGGAGCACAGGCACCTTTTACGCCTTTGGTAGTTGCTTATTGAAAAAGTCATTGAAATTCCTGGATCCAGATTTAGAATTATGTCTTTGAGCCAGCTAAGTCAGGAGAACTTTTGAAAAACAGGCCCCTTCCTAAATTACCTTTTTTTTTTAACCTTTTTTTTTTTGTTTTTCTCATCATTGCCTGTCTTCACAAGCTGTACAGATAACAAACTGGGAATGACTTCTGATTGACTGTGAAACATTCTCTTTCCAATAGCATCTTGAATTGCCTTTTCAAATACAAGGGAAGTCTGATTTTTGCATCTTAAGTCTCTTCAGATGTTATTCTTAAAATCACTTCAAATGTCAATGTTGTTTGGTTAGAAGTTATTTTAGTGTTGGGTTATCTCTGAGAGGTAGTTGAGTTGTGAGCTCAACTTCGTCTCAAACTTCAGTTGTATTCCACTCCTTACCCCTCCTTAGCACTTCTTTCTGTCATCCCCCTAACATTTCTCCCAGTTACTAAAGAAAATATCTCAGTTTGAGTTGATCCTTCTTTCCAAAAATCTGTTTGATGTCAATTCACAGGCCATCTGATAGGGTGCAATAAAAAAAATGTAAATTGTGCAATTTTTCAGCAAATTGTGCAACGAATATCAGTGATTATGCAATTTTTTATGCAAATTGTGTGTGTGTGTTTTTTTGTTTTTTTTTTTAGCTATTTTAAGCTTGTTTTATTAGGTTTTTAAGACAAAAAACATCTTTTTTACTCTTTGGAAAACAGAAATTATTTTGCACTCAAAACTGTTTTTGTCATTTGAACTTCAACCAGGACATCTTATTTTCCGAGTGGCCAAGGTCTTAGTTGGCTTACCCAACCCAGACTTTGGCCATGCACGTCCAACATGGCGTCCACGTTACAAAGGCTACATATTTAGATTTAAAGTGAGTTTCTATGTAAATAATCTTAAAACTAGTACCACATGCCAGAAATGCCTTGGACTTTGATTGTATTTACAATATCACTGTTCTGGGAATGTTCTCAGAATTTTTCAAAGGTAAATCCAGTTGAAACAACATTCAAATAAGGGAATTTTTAACTAGAGATAAAGAGTTAATTTATCATTCACCTTGTGGAATTTTTACAATTCTTTGCAAATTATGGGATTTTTCATGAATTGTTTGATTGGATGCGATATGAGGTCAATTGTGTGAAATTGCACCATTGCATTCTATCAGAAGCCCTGAATTCAGATCCTTGTTAATTATTAACAGGATAATTGAAACTTAACTCCAATCCTGATAACTCAAACCATTCTTGGTTTCCCTTGGGAGGTCAAGTTAGTGGGGTTCTGGAGTATTTTTCTTTTCTTCATGGTTGTCCTGCTGAATATTGTATCATTTCAGAAATCCCCTCCCTTCACTCGAGGGAGTAAAAGCATTAACATTCTTTAGGGTAGTATCTTTTTTTTCCATTGTTGAATTCATTTTAGATAAATAAACATTTGGTTTCAGGGGACGTATTTGCATGCTGATAATAAATCAGTGTGTGTTCAGTGCAGTTATTGCAAAGAAGGACAAGTGACAGAAAGTGAGTGTGTGTCATGGGCAGACACCCAATGTGGAAATCCTGTATGTATGCCACCACCTTCAGAAAGACCTCTTACATTAACTAAACAACCTTTCATACAAACAACGATGCAAACTCATTTCCAAGGAGGATCTGCCCCTAAGAAAGGTACCCTTAAAGTTTTCAAAATAACTTTTAAAAAAAATGGAGTATAGCATGTTTCAGTTCACAGAATCTGTTATAATGCTATTGATATTCTTTCACAGTTAACTAAAGAATATAAAATGGCATTTCCTTGAATAAGTGCCCTGGCATTTGCTTAAAATTTCAGCATAAAGGAGGGACAATTGTTGTGTGTATGAGCGCTGTAAAAGTGGATGATTACTAAGGGCAGTGTGCTCATAAGAGCATGGTTGCTTACTTGAAGAAATAAGGTGTTCTTTTAAACAATGGTTTGGAATACCAAAGCAGCCACACTCCGCTAACTGCCCTCTCCTGGAGGGGCAACAATCCCCTGGGCCTAATGTCAAACAAGCAATCCCCCCCTCCCTTTGAGTCAACACCACTTCTCCCTCACTTTCTTAAGAACCAAGTTGCATAATTTTCCATTGCTTTAAAGGGGGGGGACAGTGGCCTTCTGCAGCTGTAGGTGTATTTTGAACTTTTCAATTTTTTTGAAGAAAGCAGAAAGTTTTTGAAAGAGGTTCAGCTAAAGGGTCTTTTAGGAAAAATAATATGAACTAGGAAATTTTGCAATGGTCGGCAGATTCTCGATATTTTCTGACAGTGGCTCTTGTTTACTAGTGAAAAAATGAAAACCACTGTTGCCACTATATTTAAACCATTTTACCCTTTACTTCCTAACATCAGTACCCATATTCTCAATATTGTTCTGATACATTTCCTAACATGCTGACAAGGAGAATTTGCTTATAAATCAAGAGTTTCTTTAGTTGATCATTTTCATTATTCTTAAGATTTCAAGTGTTTGATTCAGGGGTCACATTGTAAGCAGAAATTAGATGTTAGTCACTCTTAGAGGCTAAAGTACAGGAAAAGAGTTTCTTTTCCAATCCAGTCATTTCTATCTCCATGTTTTAGCAGTGTTCTGTTATGTGCATTATCTGTTCTTTTAACTTTTGTCCTTTGGTTGAGCACACCCCCCCCCCCTGATTAAGCACCATCCTTCCTTTAAGCTTCTCTTCTTTTAGCCTAAATCTTAAAAAAAGCTCCTGGCTGCTTATTCAAGGAAATAGGTTCAGTTGAAAAGCTTTACTGCTGGTGCAGCGTGCCTTGCTAACCCTGTAGCTCACAGCATCACCCTAATTATGGAAATGTTTACTAATTTGATTGTTTTCTGTTATCATCAGTTGACCATACTAACGAAGCACCAGACTTCAGATGCCCCAATAGCACGTTCAGTGATCACATGTCATGGATCTTCTTAGTCTGCCTTGTTCTTGTATCATTGTTGTGTGGTGTTTTGATTATTTGGATAAAACGGAGTGGAATGAGTTTGCTTAGTTTGCTCCGTATGGCTAAGATACCATTACCAAACAAACCAGAAGATGGAGTGATTCGAAAAGGTTTGTGATTTAATGATTATTATCAGTAACTTTGCTGCATTATGGATTTCAGTATTTAAGTTCTGACAGAGTCTGACTTCTAGTGTTTATGAGCAGTGTTGAGAGAAGCAATTATTTACCTACACTGCCTTCTTCTTGCAGTTTCTGTGATTTCAGCATCAGGAAGATCAGAAACAAGAGTTCTTAAAGGTACAATAAACATACTTTTGCCAGCCCCTGGAAACCTAAACATATTTAAAATTTTTATAGTCTAGTTCAAAGCTTTATAGTCTATTTTTTGTTTTTTAATTTATCAAATAGATCACATATTTGTATTTTACATTTTAATTTTAGCGTACATGTTCACATTTAAATGAGCCCCAGGCTCACTGGTGAAATGTGTCTAAATAAAGTACTACTATCGGTACTACTTCTACGTATGATGCATGATCCTCGCAGTAGATAACGCTATTTAAGCAATAGCGAAATCGGACCTGAAAAAAATCAGGCCTGTACCGGATTCGAACCACTGACCTCTGCAATACTAGTGCAGCACTCTACCAATTGAGCTAACAAGCCAACTGGGAGCAGGCCGTTAATTTGAAGTACTACTTCTCTTAGATTGCAAGGAATGTGCACAGTGATGTTAGGGAGCAACAAAGTTAAATTGTAACTTGGGAGTTCTTGACATTACTTGATGGATGGACCTTTTTTGTGAATTATTACATACTTTGGGCAAGGAGTTTTCTGATACACATACTTTCTTTGTCAGTTTTTTTTTAAAATTTAATTATTGTTATTTTTACATCAGAGAATGGGATGAAATTCAATACAACCTCGGCTACCATCACTGAACAGTTGGCACGGTTGCTAAATCCAGAAAATGGCAAAAACTACAAGAATTTGGCTGGACTAATGGGCTATGATTCCACTTTTATTGGTAATCTGAAGCTGACCCCGACAGAAGCCACCCAAAAACTTCTTGAGGATTGGCAGGTGAGAGAAGATGCTACAGTTTTTAAACTGTACTGTTATTTGGAACAACTTGGGAGACATGATGCCATGGATGTCCTTCTTCCCCTTCTCACCGGCCAGGGAAGCGATGTTGCAATGGTTTGAGGAAGTGTTGCCTTTTCTCTTAGCCCCTTGCTTTTAGATAAAGCTAGCAGTTTCTAGACTTCTGCTGAAGGGGAATGGCAGCGCTTAATGAAATCACATTGATATCTTAGATTTATTAGTTTTGACAGAATCACACATTAGGGTGCCAGCTGATGGAGTCACTTAAAACTAAAACCAGACTAGTCTCAACTGCCAATGAGATGTAAGGCAGTTAAAGTCAGAAGCATCCTCATGCATACAGCAACATGAGTGTTCATGTCACAGTTGGGTTTTAGTCACACACCTGATTGGTTGAGAGAGTGGCACAAACATTAGGTTCCAGTCCATCATTACTCTCATTCACTTGAAAATCAGCCTGTAAATGTCCTGAGCATGTTGTTTAGCTATTAAAGGCATTTGCAATTGCAGCATAATTATATCGATGCGCGCAATGTTTATCTTAAAAAGGGAACAGCATATTTCTTCATACTTCTTGACAATTTTTTTTTACTCTTTACAAGCTTCAAATTTATTTTCTAATAAGTAATTAATAATTTTATAGTGCTTCAAGAGTTCTTTACTTGTTATTTTTTATGTGCATTTTTGATAAAAAAAAAGAGAGTTTTTTTGGCTTTAAATTAAAAGTTTTGCTACCTACCTTTTTGAAAAAGGGAAAATGTAAAAAAAAAAAGGTTTTTTTGTTTTCTACAGATGTATTTTTGTATGCAAAAAAAGTATATTGTTGTATGCTGTCGCGTATGCTTGTGCTGTTCTTAAAAAGAGGAGAACTCAAAATTTTGATCAATAATTATTATTGAATTAAAAAAATGCTTATGCATAGTCTGGTATTTTAGATATTTTTGATCAGGGTAATTTTGCAGTTTGGTTATCCAAAAGGTAATTATGCACACTACTTTTTCAGGAATGAGAGTATATTTTTGAAACTTGAATATTCCAGTTTGTGACAAAAGTGGCCAAGTTTGAAATTAGCTTGATGATGATTTTTTTCTGATTTTCATCACCCAGGTCAAATGAAGTGTACATTCAAATGAATGAATGAAAAATGATTAATAACAAATAGATTTACTAGGTTAGGTATAAGAGGCTATATATTTTTTTTGTTTCTGTCATCATCGTCAATATTATTTTAACTGTTACTTCATCATCTTTACCATCATTGCCATCATCATTATCACTTGTCGTTGTTGTTTCGTGTGTTTATGTGAGTTGGTTGGGGGGATAATACAGCAATCAGATGCCTAATTTGCATCAAAATAAGCTCAAAATTGTTAGATCTTTCAAGAGATGCATTGTTTCTCATATTTTAACCTTAAAAATCTTTGTATCACTCATTATGGTTGTTAAATGATAGGCATTTGATAATGATGTCTAAATTTGTCATACCAATGAAACATGAAGTAAGTGTAGGTTTTGTTATCATGATCATAAGTATTCCTGTTTTTTCTTTCCAAAAGCAGGGTTGTTGCTAAGTGCCAGCCGTAGCAAAATTTGGCAGACAAAAAAGAGGTGATTGCTGGCCGAATTTTTTTGTTGGCAATCTCTTGGAAAAGCACAACAAGCACTTCTGAGGTTACACACTTACAACCGTTTGATATCATACACATAATTTGATCTGCCTCACTTGAAATTTCAGCCTACTGGCTAATTAGCTACGGCACTGCAAAACCTCACTTGTTAAATTTATGCAGCATTTTGTAATCATGTTATGTTACGTTACCGCTTAATCCTTGCTCATCTTTAATTTGGGCAATGTCTGCAATATGCATAACAAAATGACACTACTTCAATGCTTTATTTTTATTCAATAGTTACCAATGAACTCAAAAACTGCAAACACCTGAAACATTTCTGAAATGTTTACTGTTAGCAATCACGTAGGAGATCAAACAATGCAAAAACCACAAACTTTTAAGGACTGCTACATGCATTTGAGATTTCTCAAGCCTGGCTGGTTTGTTTTCTGTGACATGTTCATATTCCAGAAAGGTTTCTAGTGTTCAGAGTTTTCTGTGTTTCTCTGTAATGTTATCAAACAAATGAATTAGATTTGACTAAGGTAATGAGGAACTTCTTTAACGTGTATTAGGATAAAAGCTGGAGTTTCTGTGCTTGTAATACTGTTAGACCTTCGTAAGCATACCTCCTGTGAGTAATCACCTCCTAATAAACATAATAATTT